ATTGGGACATATGAAGTATGTTTTTGTTGTTTTTCTGTACCGAATTTTATTTTTCATAAAATGGGGTTGTTTCGAAAATTTAAATTTTTTGCAGTCCTCCCCCCCCCCCCCCAAAAAAAAAAAAAAAAAAAAAAAATCCCCTAACCAACACATCGACGCTAAAGAGCTTGCAGCAGAAACTTTCGCTCAACTTGTCAAGTTGAACAACTTACCAGGTATTAATTGCTTCTGGCCCTGCCGTGATCGACCGATCATTAACTGTTCTTTGCCTAAAAGCGGAGGTGGAGAAAGGCTGGCACTGCCCCATTGAGTCGTCACCATGGGAATACGAATTACCATTCCATTCCACCACCTCGTTGCTTGTGTATGTAAACGAGTAAGAAACTTCGCCCTTACAGATCAAGTTAATGTCTAATGTACTCCAAGCGTATATTATTTCCATTTTTTCCCCTTCTAATCAACATTTCCTTTTCAAATCCGAAGAATTCACTACCAAAAACTTGCTTCACAGATTCGTTGAAAAGGCCCGGTTTATCTCATCGTCTAGAAGAAATGTAAGAAATATACCAGGGTTATATTTCCGCATTCGGCAATCAAGTACAACAACGCCGACTAAATTCCATATTTTACTATTTCCAATCCTATCCGAGTAGAAGAGGAACAAAGCTGCGCCTAGCTTTGGCGCGACTCGGCCTGGAGTCCGACATGATTACGAATGGACACCATCAACAACTCGTCATCGTTCCTGAACAAGTTTGGTATCATTCATCGCCACGCAGAGATCAGCACAGGGCCAAAACTATTGCATATTGCATATTGCATACATATCGCCAAGATGTACCCTGCGGGACTGCGGGAATACACTAATAGTATTGACTTGTTCCAAAAGTACAACCAGATTAATCCGTGCCTGAGTGCTTGCATGTATGATATGATATGGCTATCTATGTAGGTAAGGAGCTCCTAAAAGGTCGGTCTGAAGTTACTTGGAGAGGTCGTATTTGTGTGATTCGTGACACGGTAACGAATGGCTTAGCACGTCTAGTTAGGCTTAGTTCCCTTGGTACTGATAGGCGTCGGTAGGTTTAAGTTGGAGCTAAACTTAAAAAGAGTACCTACATACATGCATGGGGGTACCTAGCATATGCATCCGTCTCTCCCGAACATTAAATCTTTCTTTTCCCACGTATTATGTACATACATAGAAATTCTTACCAAACGGACTCGACTCCTACTTATCCTACTACCATGGTCATATTCCAACCACGCAGTTGCTAAAGACACGAGACCTAATGGGTTCAAGCCGTTAGATATATGTTCGTATCGAAAACATGAAGACGCAGGAAAGATTTTCACCTGCGATGTAGGTCTTTCTCGGCCGGTCCTGTCCTGACTAAGAGGCAACGATATGCAGCCCGGTCTCTCATTTTTTGGAAACACTACCGATAGAGGAAATAGTCATGTTGTATTGGCCGCGCGATAACCCCCCAATGCAACTCTGCACTGGCATCTGGCACACCACCCACCCATATCGGCTTATCTTCACTGATCCTGTCGAGAGAGAAACGCCCACATGTAAGACAACTGAAAAAGAGATAACCTTCCAGCTACCCGAAGCCACACACACACGTCTTTTATCACTCCTAGGCTGAGAATGTCGCAACCCCCGATCACCCGGAAATCAAGGTTTTGCCCGTTCAAGCATATGGTTTTTTCAGACGACAGATGCACCTAAGAAATAGCCTACTTTCGCCTCCGTATACCAGGGGCCCCTGCCGGTCAGTATGTGCGGTTAATCTTGCAGATGCGAAGGCCGAGCAAGACCGCTTTTCATGTATGCGGCGGCTAAGCGATAAGAAAATAGCTGGTATTCGTTTCACGTGATTGGATGTTGTGGTCTGTGGAACGAGCTGTTTATATTGGCTACCATATTGGAGCACGAGTATGCGTGTTGTTTATTACCTATTATTTGATTGATAACGGGCATCTCGGAATTCCTAGGTTGGATCTGTATTGTCCTGCTGTATGACATGGCAACGATGATCTGCTCATGGTTGTTGGAAATATATAGAGGCTCGTACCTAGTCGAGCACGATGACATGACCTCCGGAGCTCCGTAACGAACATATGTTTTTTCTGGGGAAGATAGATAATTGTTGGTAAGAATCTATCTAACCTGTATGTTCGGAATTTGAAGCTCGCTACGCTGACTAAAGCCTGGAAGACCTGGATATTGCGCATACTATAATCCAGGTGGCTTCACGTCTAGAAAGACAAGTTAGCCAGCCTTATACAGCATATACAGTATAGCAGGCTTGAATTCGGAATAGGTAAGGCCTAAAAATATCAATGGACTAAATAACAAGCACGCTGTCATCGAATTCAGAGTATATACCTAGCCCTCTTAGAGAACCCCTTCGAAGTATCCCACCGAATATAACTATTCCAAAGCCATAAAGCGATATACTACCGAATTGCCCATTCCCTTGCCTCTATACGATCTCATCGTAAAACAAGGCAGGCTTGTCGCAAACTCAAACCCTAAACTCTCCACCCGTTTCTTTGTAGGGTAATACCGGAACCAAACTTAGCCAGCCAGAGCCCGCTCCCTTGCGTATGTAAATGTACGAATATCAGGGAGGGGACGGCCCGGGCGTACGTCTACGTCTACACACACCGAGAGCGTGTAGCCTATTAATAAACTCTGGGCCCGTGGGTACGGGTGCCTACGTTATTCCGCATATCACGAACGTCAGCTTTCTCGTCCTGACGCCCGCTGCAAGTAGCCTGCCGCAGCTACCCGTGTCGTCCCCGATTTCCATTCCACTCCACTGTCGACGTATGTTCTTCTTTTCCCCTATAGAATTTCAGACTGCTGGCTCATGTACTTAGGATAGCCCTTAAGTTTAGCAAGTTTGACCAGCCTGGGGTAGATTAGATGGCTCGGGTTCACTCCTTATCCTATTGAAGTTGATTATAGGGCTTTCCCCCCAGAGCTTCTTAGCCTCACATATAACCTGTGACTTGCGATATTACTTGTCTCGCGCTACCATGGTAATGAACCGGCGCGGTGGTCTCGCTTATGTCAGGTTGCCCCATATCTGAGTATAACCTTGATGTCTTGTACAGGAGTATAGGAACTTGAAATACCTAGACATAGTAAGTCTCAGCTATGAGCTAAAATAGACTCGCTTATTACCCGCTTCACGAATATATAACCTTGAATCCATTACGTTCCCTGAACTGACCGTGGAAATATGTATGAAGTAACGCATGTATTAGCTATGCCACTGATATTTGACAATCTGATCCATTCCGTGAGTTCAATATCCGATACCGCCCATCCCGAATCATTCTCGATACATCGTCGGTTGATCGCAATACCCGGAGGAAAGTTCAAAAACTATCCATCCTCTGTCGCGTTCCCAGCTCCGGGGGATCGAATATCATATTCTCGTTAAAAGGAAACCGATGCCAAATCAGCAATTCACAGACGAGACTCCATGCAATTGCAGGAATTCTTTCTTTTTAATTGTTGATGCTAGACGCAAGGCTGGAGCCTGATACCTTGCCTAACCCAGATGCAGCCAATCATGAGAACCGTCCACACTACCAACTCCGGCTCTAACCCATCTTATATCGACGAAGGGTAGAGCATGATACGAACTGAAGCACCGAAAGACTTGGAGGGGAGGGGAGTGGCGAACTTCGCTCGGACGACGCCGGAGTTGCCTGATGTAATTATTAGCATTATACTTTCCAATATGGTAAGGTAGGCAGAAAAGACATACCGTGAGGTCGGGTGACCTTGCCCCAGATCACGCGGATCTTGGTTCCTCGGATCTCCTTCTGGCCCTTGTAGACATACGCAACCTTCTTTCCTAGGTAGAAGCTGCGCCAAATATGTTAGGTTCAAATTCAAGCAGTATTGATAGTTCCTAAACCTACTTGGCGGCGTCGGTGTCATCGACACCCTCGATCTTGATCAAGCTCGTCTTAGGGTGGGTGGTGTGTCGGCTACGTTGGTAGCTTAGGTGACGTCCCCTAAAATACGAATCCCAGTCAGTATTTGCTTCATTTTCCCGCGTGCCTGATTGAACAATGTCGTCGTGAATTCCTATGAAAAGGCGGTCGGAATGTCGGGGGGGAAACTCCGGTTCTTCTCGCAAAGAATTTGGTTCGGGGGTAAATAATTTATAGACTACTCACTTGACGTATACTGTAGGCAAACAAATTAGTATATATTTAATAATTGAATTGTTTCCAAGTAGATTGAAGCCATTAAGTTGCAAGGCGCGAAAGGAAGTACTTTACGCGACCGCGATGCCGGATCAATCCCGTAGGTAATCATAGTACTTACATCTGTGACCTGCTTCGGAAGGCATCTTGACTGAGTTTTCCACGGCTCTCAGAAATCCGAAATGGTACTGGAATCCGGGAGAAGTCTTTCGCAGAAGAAGACCTTTGTACGCTGGGCGAGTTTCTGTCGTCGAATGTTGTGATGACCAAATCTCAAGGTGGGTTAGGCTTGACGATGGAGGTTGATTGATGGAGATGGATTGGTGCGAAGTGCTAAGCGAAGCCCTGTTGCAACCACAGAAAAAACATTTTTGACTTTGGTGTGGTGGCTGAGAATTTCTTATCACTGGCCACATGTGGCTTGGATATAGACCCCACGTCCACTACCTACACTATAGGTACCTAGGCCCAAGCATCACGATCCCCCACTTCACTAATACCTACCTAGGTACCTAAGTATTCCGTACCACCTTCTAGAAATCAACCTTAAGCTCTCCGAAGAACGCCCTGAGACGCCAGAACAATAATCTCAAAACTTTGATAAAATCATAAGCACCAAGAAGCCAAAAAATGAATCATTATCACATGTGGCCTCCAAGACTACAGCAGTACCCAGCATATAAAACCAGACTATACTAGAATCCACAGTGCTCATGACCTTGCGTTTTTGAATCGGATCTAATCGGTAGCACTGCAGAAATCTTATCTCCATTTAATTCCGCGAGATTGCAGCTCTTGAGTGTTGCTCTAACTAACAACTCATAAAGACAAGCGGATGAATGGCATGCATGGATAGTAGTAACACCCAACAGATGACTTACCAGCATCGCGTACAATAACCCAACCTTTATAGCGTACAAGAGTGGTTTGGCCATCTGTGCCACTCAAGTAGGGGGCCAGCAGCTAATAAGTCAAAGTGTTGACAAACACTAATCCAGCGTTCTCTTCATCTTACCGCAGTCATAGCTATTCATTAACCTTTCATGTATCATTGCTATGTCTTAAGCTATTAGCATTCAAGATCTGAGTGTCTTGTTTGCTACCTAGTCTTAGACACCTATCCCAAATCCCGAAGGATAATGTATTAGCGAACACAGCACATGGCTACTCGAGTCCTCGCGGTGCTACATCTCATGTTGGAGGCGAATTTGTGTTCATTACAGTAAATCACCGTGTCAAAGTCGTGCCGCGGCCTTCCGTGTGATACAGCGGCACTACACGCCCTCTTTTCCGCCTCATTACTAGTCTATCAATAATCCCTCACACATTTGTGTGTCAAGTAGGTGTGACCGCTGCAAGAGGCTCACTCTACTACCATCCCGATGCAACCATGTATTAGCCAGGTGGTTTGCTGCCTGTAAGACTTGGGAACGATAAAAACAGAAATTATGGCCCAGGGATAGCAGAATAAATATCTGCCGAGGCACGTAGTAGACACCGCTGAGTGAGGAGGGAGGCTTATTACACAAATCCATAAGCCCCACGGGATGCAACAACAAGAAGCGCTCGCTCGTTCGCTTGTTCGCCCCGCGGCCGCAGGACCCTTCCGTTGAGTCTCAAATTACCCCGCGGCCGGCGCAGCAATTGACCTGTTCTGTTCTCCACTAATGGACTAGCTTAACCGTCCCTAAGTTGGTAACAATAAAGGTAAGCTTTCGAGTGAAAGTTTAACCTAGATAGCTTCAGGTAGGAGGTCTAAGCCGCGGTAAGGGGAGGATTCAAAAGAGGTACCTAAAGCTCTCTTCGGCTCCCCACTACCCTAATAATACCAGCTGTAATAATATGTACAAGTCTATCCACTATTACTACGGTCAATTTAAGCCGTTCTCGGCCATTTCCCCTTCTACCGCCGATGTCTATTGGTCAGCAGTTATTGAGCGATCAAGGCACAATACCACGGTGCTATTATAAGCAAGTAATGCATACCTACATACGTCAATAAGGGCTTCTCTTTTCAGAATTGTACGCGTATCTTTGCTCAACGCTTACTCATAACGTTTAGTTAATAGCTAATAGACAAGATGTATTTACCAAAGCGAGGCTAGTAGGCAGAGTATGTTGAAACCTTATAAAGCTAACAAGTCAAGTTTTTCTTCTTCGTTTATTACCGATATATACCTCATAAAGCAGATGCTCGAGTTAAATAATTAGGGTTAAAAAAGAGAATGAAATATAAAATAAAAGCAATGGTAAAAGCAAAACTGATGATCATACATCATTATCCAAAAAGAGTTTAGAGGTGCGGGTGTTAATATTCTAAAAGTGCTTAGACCGTGGAAATAGCGCTCTTGCTAATACGGCTCCTATGACATATCTGAAGGACCAACCCACTCTTAGCCACCTAAAGTGAAGTACCTAGGCATCCTATGGACCTAATGTCGGCCTTAACAATCAATTACCGCCTGTGACCGACAGCTATTCGCCCGTCCCGCCCGGCCAAACCAGACATTACCTATTACTTCCTCCAACGACTTGATCCCTCCGCCTTCCACTCGGTCCTTCTCATATTTTCACGACATCATTTCCCCTAAACTACATAAATACCCCTCTCCATCACCCATTGTTATAGTTATTTCCGTCTTTACAATTATCATCCTGCCCTACCGGCAAACCAGTCGCAATGGATTCCCCAGCAAGGTAAGCTCACAAATACCCCGCCCCCGCCCCGCCATTCAATCGTCAAACCTGGATACAGAGAGCTTCAGGGTTGCGCTTGCGAAAGCTTTTATTGCGTAACTCTGTCTCTTGTTTAAGAAGGATGGAATATATGGATTTGTGTATAAGGAATTGCTTTTTTACGTATGGAACATGTACTAATAATCCCTCCCTAATAGTGGTATGGAGCTGAAGGACAACACGGTCATCGTGGTCCTCGGCGCATCGGGAGATCTTGCGAAGAAGAAGACGGTACGTATAATAAACAACTGTTTTACCACAGTTAAAGCTCCCCAGCTAATTTAAGTATCATAGTACCCTGCCCTCTTTGGCCTTGTAAGTATTTACATCAAATCCGACGTGCCCGGCGCGGCAGACTGAGAACTAACGCACTCGGAAGTACCGCAACCAATTCCTCCCTAAAGATGTTAAGATTGTCGGATATGCGCGAACAAAGATGGAGCACGAGGAATACCTCAAGCGAGTCAAGTCATATATCAAGACGCCTACCAAGGATTTGGAGAAGCAATTGGCAGAGTTCTGTGAGCACTGCAGTTACGTGTCTGGCCAATACGACCAGGACGAGTCCTTCTTGAACCTCAATGCTCACCTTGAGAAGCTGGAGGACGGTCGTCACGAAACACACCGTCTCTTTTACATGGCCCTCCCACCTAGCGTATTTACTATCGTCTCTCAACACTTGAAGAGATGTTGCTACCCTCCTAAGGGTATCGCGCGAGTTATCGTAAGGACATTTTCTTCAATATGGCACCTCGAAACACGTTTCTAATTTTTCTATGCAATTAGGTTGAGAAGCCCTTCGGAAAGGATCTTGCCAGCTCGCGCGAGCTACAAAAGTCGTTGGAGCCTGACTGGAAGGAGGATGAGTTGTTCCGTATCGACCACTACCTCGGAAAAGAGATGGTGAAGAACATTCTAATTCTTAGATTCGGTAACGAATTCTTCGGTGCTACCTGGAATCGACACCACATAGACAATGTTCAGATCACATTCAAGGAACCTTTTGGTACAGAGGGTCGTGGCGGTTATTTCGACGAGTTTGGAATTATCCGAGACGTCATGCAGAACCATCTGCTCCAGGTTTTAACGCTGTTGGCCATGGAGCGACCTATCTCTTTCTCGGCGGAGGATATTCGTGATGAGAAGGTCCGTGTACTGCGAGGTATCCCGGCTATCGAGCCGAAGAACGTCATTATCGGCCAGTACGGAAAGTCACTCGACGGTAGCAAGCCTTCTTACAAGGAGGATGATACCGTTCCCAAAGAGTCGCGATGCCCGACCTTCTGCGCCCTGGTTGCTTACATCAAGAATGAGAGGTGGGACGGCGTTCCGTTTATTATGAAGGCGGGCAAGGCCCTAAACGAGCAAAAGACGGAGATTCGGATTCAGTTCAAGGACGTTACTAGCGGTATCTTCAAGGACATTCCCCGAAACGAGCTCGTGATGCGAATCCAGCCGAACGAGAGTGTTTACATTAAGATGAACTCTAAACTGCCTGGTTTGAGCATGCAGACGGTTGTCACAGAACTCGATTTGACATACCGACGACGGTTCTCAGACCTCAAGATTCCCGAGGCGTACGAGTCGCTGATTCTAGACGCGCTCAAGGGTGACCACTCCAACTTTGTCAGAGATGACGAGCTTGATGCTAGCTGGAGGATCTTCACCCCCCTGCTACACTACCTTGATGACAACAAGGAGATCGTCCCGATGGAATACCCCTATGGTGAGTAGAAAATATAAGCTCGTGATACTAAACACGCACTAACCTGCATGATAGGCTCGCGAGGACCGGCGGTCCTTGATGACTTTACATCGTCATACGGGTACAAGTTTAGCGATGCTACAGGTTACCAGTGGCCGATGACATCTGCCGCGCCCCCTAACAAGTTGTAAGTAGATATCGGCATGGCGTTTCAGCGATAGATTTTGGGCAGTCTTGTAGACTTCCATAGAGCAAGCAAACCCACTGATATATTCCCCCGATAGTTAATTGTTAGTCTTGCATCGGCGGTATCCGTCGTGTGCGATGTTGATTAGACTACTGGTAAGGGGCGCATGAGAATGTCAAGCTTGGGGCGCAGAACGAAAAATGTGATCTCCTTTCGACGTGGGATCCTCGGATAGGGGGTGCGGGACTATTAATAAGGTCTGCACCGATATTTCCATAGAAAGCAACGTTAAGCTCTAGTTTAAGTAGCTTTTAAGTAGTGATTAGTTTTTGTCTTATAATATGAAGAGCCTCCTAGATATTGTACAGGCTGGCCGGAATCATTTATTCCACTAAGACTTGTAGCAGATGCGTCGTGAGGATTGCGGGGATCCATTGCTGTAGGCTGTAAGCTGTAAGCTGGTAGACATTGATATAAATGCCAAGGCTAGAGAGTATGGCTCATAGTGATATATCTTGGACAATAAAGATAAATGTCGGTCGGCTGTGTTGCCAAGATTCAAGATTCATGAGTCTCTCTGTGTTCATTTACTCAGCCGCATTACCTTTTTAATTCGAAGGATTCTATGATGTTTCTGGCGGATCATGCTGACTGAGATGGCTAGCCTAGGTTAGTAGTATAGTAGTATAACTCGAGGTAGATCTCGGGTCGGGCTAAGCCGTGCTGATTCTAGTCGTGTAAGCTTATTGCATCTACTAACTCCTTGTCTCATAATTTGGTTTAGGAGGTGAGTACTGGTATTTCCTGGTGGGTTGCATGGTAGGACTTCAAATTAGCCCGATCGCCTTCGATTTGACATCTACATGTAGAATATGCGTACTATGTAGTGATTATTTGCAGGGTATGGATGGACTAGACAGGTAGCCAAGACCGGGGTCGGGGAGCCTATGTAGGACACCGAAGCTACCCACACCCACGTCGTTGTCCTTCCCGTATATACGCCGTATTTAGAGAATTTTATAGGACTCGCGATTGGTCTAGGCTTCGGTTAGATCTTGATGACACCGGCCTCGCGTATTGGCGCAGGGCGGTCCGAGATAAGGTATAATTAAAGATTCATGGGTTCGATAGAACCCGTCACGACATTGTTTACCTGGTTGATCATTTCAATCTGCCTCCTTTTGATTCGATAGTTCCCCCAAAGCGGGTTCCGCCCCCGACACCGTACCATATGTAGACTCTCGCCTTTGACGTGCGTTTTTAAACCTTGTCGAGAAAGCAACAGAAAGGTTATTAGTTGCCTGTTTCATCTCGGTTGGGTTCATTAACCCAGTCCTTGGCAAACCCATCCATCGCCTCCAGGCTAGGTACCACATCTTACATAAAGTACTACATAACCAGTATCGTTTCCTTATGGTCTTGACGACTTCACGTGTACCTATGCAGGGTATATGGCAAGCTGTTCGCCATGGGGACTGAAACAATAGACTCGAAGGCGACTTTAGGGTCAGCCTTCGACGAGAAGATGGCGCCGCCAACTGCGTCTACTGATAATGCCATTGCTACGAAAGAAGAGGAAGCGCAGCGCGATGCTAAGCTGCGGCCGGAGAGGGAGGCTGTTTTTAGCGACTATATTGTTCGTGTCTCACCAAGTAGCATGATATATCTGGATATTGCTAATGTCGGTTTAGAGGATCTTCAAATATGCTACCTTCTGGGATTTCGTTCTAATGGTTGCTGCAGTTATAGCAGCCGGAGGATCAGGTGTCGTACGTATAGATGTTACAACTAGACTTATGAGTATACCGGGTCGACTAATAGCTTGTCTAAATCGAAGACTCTTCCGCTGATGAACGTTGTATTCGGTAAGGCTCTTTACAAAGGCACGAGTAAAAGCTCGCTGTAGATGCTTATTAGTCTAATAGGTGCACTTGTCGGCGACTTCAACGGCTACTTTCTCCCTGTTCCTACGCAGACGGAGGCCCAATTCAGGGCCTCTCTTAACAAGAATGCGTAAGTCTAAAATGTGACGCTATGAGCTAGTCGCTGATACTATATACAAGATTATACATCTTTATTCTATTTATTGCGCGATTCGTTCTTACATACATCAACAAGGTATATTGATATTCAGCACTTGCCGTTTAGAATACTTACTTACAGCAATAGTTTGCCTACCGGCTGATTGGCATTCGGATGTCTGCAGCTATCAGACTTGATTATCTTCGCTGTCTGTTCAGCCAAACGATCCACGTCCTGGACTCGATGCCCCCTGGTGCTGCAGCAGGGACGATCACGACGACGGCGAATACGCTCCAGCTAGGCGTTTCAGAGAAGCTTGGCGTCTTCGTCGAATTCGTCGTCATGATCGTTGCCGCCACGATCATCGCATTCGTTTACAACTGGGCTCTCGCTCTGGTAACATGCTCTGTTCTCCTCTTTATCCTCATCGTCATAAGTATTATCATCCCATTCTATGTCAAGGGAACGACCAAAGTCACCAAGGCGGAGACCAAATCGTCTTCGGTAGCAAACGAGGCTTTCTCGGCTATCCGTATGGTGGTTGCGTGCGGTGCCGAATCCCAAGTTGCGAAGCGTTTTGCTGTCTGGGCTCAGCAAGGACAGAAGCACGGCCAGAGGATTTCCCCCCTTATTGGCATGCAGATGTGTTTAGTTTTCTTCGCATTTAACGCCGCGTTCGGGCTTGCGTTCTGGTACGGATCTAGATCGTTTGTTGAGGGCCGACTCGATAATGTAGGTACCATCGTCGTGGTGCTTATGTCGGTCATGATGATGATTATTTCCATCGAACGAATCTCGACGCCTCTCATCGCAATGGGTAAGGCTACGGTAGCTGCTTGTGAATTTTTTACCGTCATAGATGCCCCTCGACCAAACACCGGCGAACTTAAGGAACCCGATGTTTCAGCGAGCAGCGATATTATATTCAAGGACGTGGATTTTGCATACCCGAGTCGACCGCATGTCAAAGTCTTAGACCAACTTAACCTTCGAATTGAGACAGGGAAGCTTACGGCTATTGTTGGGCCTTCTGGGTCTGGTAAAAGTACTATAGTCGGCCTGATCGAACGATGGTATACACTACATGACCAATACATCATCGCGAAGGCTATCGAAAAGGACCCGGCAAAGGAGGCAGCGAAGAAGGGTAAGGGAAAGAAGAAAAGCCAAGACGAATCTGACGACGAACCCCCCGCTGCCGAAGTTGAAGACGCCGGCCCGGCCGTAGAATTAAAGGGATCAATATCTACCTGTGACCATGAGCTAGAAAAGATCAACCTAAAGTGGTGGCGGTCTCAGATCGGGCTTGTGCAGCAAGAGCCATTTTTGTTCAACGACACTATCTATAAGAATGTCGCGTACGGTTTAATAGGTTCGGAGCTCCAAGATGAGCCCGAAGAGCGGAAACGAGAGCTGGTGAAAGAAGCCTGTAAGGAAGCCTTCGCTGACGAGTTTATCGACCGACTTCCGGACGGATACGAGACTCTTGTCGGTGAAAGCGGCACGAAGCTATCAGGTGGCCAGCGCCAAAGGATATGTATCGCTCGAGCCGTCATCAAAAGACCTAAGATCCTCATTCTCGACGAAGCTACATCCGCGATCGATGTCCGAGGCGAGCGTATTGTGCAGGCAGCGCTCGACAAGGTATCGCAAGGCCGAACTACCATTACCATCGCCCACCGACTCTCGACGATAAAGAAGGCCGATACTATTGTTGTTTTGCAGAAAGGAAAAGTTGCTGAGCAGGGGACTCACGATTCCCTCCTAGAGAATGAGAAGGGCGTTTACTATGGTCTCGTCCACGCCCAACAGCTTTCGCTAGGAGAACATACTGATGCCGAAGATTCCGAGGGCCCGGAGGAAGAGGACCTAGGGGCGATTCTTAGCCGCGAAAAGAGTGCTGCGTTCTCTGAAGCTGCGAACGCGCCCAAGGCAGCTCCGTGGAAGAGAAGAGGTTTATTTGGAAGCTTTGGACGGTTGCTGTACGAGCAGCGAACTCGGTTCCCCTTCTATGCAGTTATCATCCTGGCTTCTATGTGCACAGGGAGTAAGTTGGAACAATCAAAGTCCGTGAGAAGGCTTGAGCTAACAAGTAATATCAGCATCGACTCCTCTACAGGCGTACCTCTTCGGAAAAATCATTGTCGTCTTTGCTTACATGGACGATATACCTAAGTTTACAGCCGAAGCAAACTTCTGGTCCTTGATGTGGGTGGTTCTCGGCATAGGTACAGGCGTGGCATACTTCGTCCTGGCATTCACGTCAAATCATCTTGCTCACGTAGGTATCCCCGCTGCAGTAAATTGTCTATATGCTGAACTTGCAAATGTAGTACATCTCTGCGACATACCGACAGCAGTATTTCGAGAGTATCTTGTATCAAAAGACATCCTTCTTCGATGAAGAGCAGAATTCAACGGGCTCGCTTACGGCTCGAGTCGGGAGTGATCCGAAGCAACTGGAGGAACTTCTTGGTTTAAATATGGCTATGGTTTATAATTCGTGAGTATCTATTTATATATGACATTATGTCTACATTCTTGCTAACACGGTCTATGTAGATTCTTCACTCTCATCGGCTGTTTAGCTATAGCCTTTGCCTTCGGCTGGAAGCTCGCCATTGTCGCTACATGCGTCACGATGCCTATAGGATTTGCAGCGGGGTATCTTCGCCTTAAGTACGAGATCGAATTCGAGAGACTGTACGCAGAGGTCTTTGCCGAGTCATCTAAGTTCGCTGCCGAGGCTATCTCGGCTTTCCGAACCGTTTCTTCCCTTACCCTCGAAGATACCATCGGTAACCGTTACGAGAACTTGCTTAGCCATCACGTCGTCGAGGCTTACAAGAAGGCGAGGCTGAGGACGTTCGTATTTGCTTTCTCGGAGAGTGTCGGTTTAGGTTGCCAGGCTCTTATCTTCTGGTATGGCGGCACCCTTCTGGCTTCGCGAGAGTATAACGCTTTGGAGTTCTTGATCTGCTATATGGCGGGTAAGTGAGGGTTAATTTTTACTTGGATGACTTTGAGTGTCTCTATGCATGGAGCGCCTAAGATATACCAAAAAACCCCCGTGTTACTCTTAAGGAAACGGTTTACTAACTATAATCCTTCAACCAGTCATTCAAGGAGCCGAGTCAGCAGGCCAGGGCTTCGGCTTCGGTCCCAACGCCGCCCAAGCCTCAGCCGCCGCCAACCGCATCCTAAGCATCCGCGAGACCCGCAACAAGGACCTAGGCGACAAGAACACTAATATCCCCGACACACAAGGCGGCATTAAGATCGAGCTCAAGGACGTACACTTCAAATACCCTACACGTAACGTCTCTATCTTCAAAGGCCTCAACATCACGATCGAGAAGGGCCAGTTCGTAGCCCTAGTCGGCGCCTCCGGCTGCGGCAAGACGAGTATCATTTCTCTTCTCGAGCGCTTCTACGATCTTCAGCGCGGGCAGATCCTGGCGAACGGCATAGACATCGCACAAATCAACGTATACGACTACCGAAGGCACTTATCGCTAGTGGCTCAGGAACCGACGCTGTTCCAGGGTACACTACGCGATAACATTCTGCTAGGCGCCGACGTAGCGGACGTCAGCGAAGAGGACCTGCATGCGGCGTGCCGCGACGCGAGTATCCACGAGTTCATCATGTCGCTGCCCGAGGGCTACAACACCGAGGTCGGTAGTCGTGGTGTCTCGCTATCCGGCGGCCAGAAGCAGCGTGTTGCAATTGCCCGCGCCCTGGTCAGGAAGCCCGAGGTGCTCCTTCTCGACGAAGCCACAAGCAGTCTCGACTCCGAGAGCGAGAAACTTGTCCAGGGCGCGTTTGAGCGAGCCGCTACGGGGCGCACCATGGTGGTTGTTGCGCACCGGCTGGCTACGGTGCAGAATGCCGATGTCATTTTTGTTCTGGGCGAGGGCAAGGTGTTGGAGAAGGGGTCGCATAATGAGTTGCTGAAGAAGAGGGGTTTTTACTGGAACATGGTAAGTCGTCCCTCTAACCCCTTTTCTATGAGGATAATTGAACAATTACTGATCTTACTTCGCTTTTAGTGTCAGAGCCAGGCCCTCGATAGGTAAGGGAGGATGTCAAGTATAATGAGGGATGAGTATACGTAATAGATAATACACATGTTGGATGTATAGGGACTGGACGATGGCTATTAAAAAAGGACGGCATATACATGCAGCATTATCTCGAAGGATCATTTGGGTTGGGTTGGTTGGCATACCCGATTTTTAGAAATACCTTTTCAGCTCTGGTCTTTTGTATAATACGAAGTCAACTCAGTGTAAGCTTCTTTCCTTTTACGATCGGGATGGGCTGCTAGTCGAATAATAAGTGGTCGTGGTAACGCTATAAAAACATCGATCCAAGGAGATCAACGTAGACAATTTGATGATGCCGCAACGAAAATATAACTTAAGTCTCTTCTCGGGCAGATATCTACCTAACTTATCTTTATATTAGGTACCTATATACGTAACTACCTACCTATCTGTCCGCTTTTCGAGGGGAGGAGGTGAATCGTTGGGTCGGGCTCGTGTTTCCGATATCCATGGCGCCAGGTCCCACGACGCAGTTTTTCGGCGGTCCTGGGTTCGATCCCAGTTTCGTGCTTTTTTTAGTCTTTTATTTTGTCTTTTCTGGTATTATTTCTTGTCAGTTATCGGTTGCCTATTCCTATTCCTATTCCTATCCCCTACCCCTTTTATTCATCAGTCGTAATCACGTGATTACTTACATTGGACACAATACAACACTGTCGTTTATAATAAACTGTTTCTTTAATAGGTACCTAACATATAGGATTAAACTGTTAAGTCATGTATTTATTAGATGTCACTTAATCCGGCGGGTTCGGTGATATGAAGGATTTTGGATTCTTTTGTCCCCAAGATGGCTTTTGTAAGATTCTAGCTAAGTACAAGCAATTGAATCAACAACATGTAGCGATGCTAGTAGTAACATATCGAGAGTTTTAGACTATTTCGTCTCCTTTCTCTACACGAACTTCAAGCCACCTAAATACTTCATTTCGTCCGCTGGTGGGGTTGATAATAGCTACTTAGTTTTGGGTTGGCTAGGGTTGGCAACTTTTGCTAACTGAGCGGCGGCTTCTTTGCGACCGGCATAGATTGCATCCATCAACATAGCCATATGGGCACAGTCATCTCGCAGCGAGTCAATCCGCTTGCTGATCTTCTCTTCGCAAGCTACCCGCCTCTCGAGCGCTGCTATTAGTCGTTGACATTGCTGCAGATTATGGTTGGAACTAAGATATGTGTTAGTGCGTTTATATATTTTAATTCGAGCAGATGAGATAAAATAATCTTACATTTTCTGTGTCTCGTCATGATAATGCTTCTTAATCTTATTCCTTAGGCCAGTTAACTTTTCAGTATAATCTTTGTCAATGCTCTTCTGGATCTCGGTCCGCTTCGATTTCCATCTGTCCTATAACACAGGTTAGGAAAGACGTTAGCATCAAATATTTTGTGGATGGTCTATATCTAATAACACTAAATCATGATAAACCAAGCTGATGAATGGTAGATGGGCATACGATGCTTTCCATAGCCTGCGGTATACTCGTGCTTGGTTTATAGTTGAAGCTGAAATTCAACTCGACATCGGAGCCTGAATCGGCTTCAGTTGGGGTAGGTTCTTTGCGACGAGAAGCCATTGTCATATGTAATTTCTAATGTAACTGGTCTATGATATAGTTTGGATCGAATGCACAGGAATGGTTATCAACGGGGATCCCAGGAACTGGAGAATGTGATCTTGGTTGACTGGATTCACGTTCTGGTTCAATTTGATGTAGATTGCTATTTGGAGTGAATTCTGGGTCCTTCAATTTTACAAAATCTTAAGGTTCAATGTTCTATTAAAGGTTTGATGTTTTATATTCTAGGAAACGGCAGCCATTACGGACCTTTACACATCGTACTTACCCTCCTGATGGCCATAAGTTCAATACTCTACATACCCCCTTTCATTACATAATCACACAGGTGCCACTATTTATTCCGAGGCATTGCCGCTTACCAGGCTTATCAGGCTTATCAGCCAAAAAAAATAATTGACAGCCAAACCCCACTGAAATTCGGCCTTCTCAATTCCCCATACGGTATTTGACTTGCGTTTGACTTGCGATCGATTTGCGATTGCGACGAGGTCAATTCAAATCACGATGGGTCTTGCAGGTCCTAGGAAGTACAGAAGCCCTTATATATATATATCCCGACTTAAATATGTGCTAATTCGTATACTCCTATAGCCGGCGAAAGCTCCAGCACGATCCGAATAATACGAAATGGAGCCGTGACGAGACGACCTTCGGTCAGAAGATTCTGCGAGCACATGGTTGGGAGCCGGGAAAGTTTCTAGGAGCGCAAGATTCCTCGCACTCTCATTTACACACGGCTGCGAGCGCCGCCCCTATAAATGTCCTCCTAAAAGATGACACCATGGGTTTAGGAGCGAAGCCCCGGCACAAACAAAACACCGAATGCACTGGCCTCGATGTCTTCAAAGATCTCCTCGGTAGACTGAACGGGAAATCCGAAGAGGTAATTGAGAAAGAGAGGAAGGTGAAGTCAGAAGTTAAGACTTGTTTGTACGTAGAGAGGAAATACGGTACCATGAGATTTGTCAGTGGAGGTCTCTTGGTTGGAGACCAGATAGCGGGATTGACTAGCACGACCGCCAAAGCTGAAACTCCCACAGAGGACGTGAAGGAAGAGGATATCAAGGAGGAATCAGTCACCTCGCTGGAGGATGTTCCTGATCGCCCCGTGAAGAAGCAGAAGAAGGAAAAGAAATCCAAGAAAAGGAAAGCAGGAGACGTCGACTCCGCCGATGAGCCCGATGCTACCCTCGAAAAGAAGCGAAGGAAATGGTTAAAGGAAAATATCTCACAGGAAGACTCGGCTTGTACCGTAAAAGCCGAAGGCTCTAGCAAAAAGAAGAAATCCAAGAAGTCTAAATGGAAAGACATTGATGGATCAGAGCCACTCGAGTCGGAGAAAAAGAAGAAGAGCAAAAAATCAAAGAGGGACAATGGGTGCGAGACTGAGAACGATGACACATCTATTCCGTCAGAAGAGACCCCGGTAGAAAAGTCCAAATCAAAGAAAGAGAAGAAAGAGAAACACAAGAAGGACAAGAAGCAAAAACAGTCGAATTCGTCAGCGGATGCATATATTTCAACGGGCACTTCAACTCTTGCGTCCGACGCTACCCCTCAAGAGAGTGGCACGTCGACGCCCATTGGGACGGGCACTTCAACTCCTCAACCCATTTCTGCACGACATTTGGCTCGGTCCCGCCACATCGCATCGAAACGGATGGCCATAGCTGATTTGCAAGCAATGAATCAAGTAAGTATTGAAATATGAAGTTATTCTGTATTGGATTGCCAAATGCTAATCATGGAGGCAGATTTTCATGGTAAAACCGGTTTGATATATAATATTAGCGATTTGATTAATCGGAGTGTTTGCATTAGAACGCTTGGGCTTTGATGCCCGTAGATATGATTCAACAATATAAATAAGCCTCGATCGAAAATAGAGAAGAATGATGAAGCTTTAAATGGGCCTTAATACTAGCAAAGAGACCAGCTGCGCAACTAAGTCTCTTGTGAGCTGCCGTAGACAAATGTTATTACCTACTGTTTATATAGACGGAGATAGCTGCATGTTTTTCTAGTAGTAAGTAAACATCGTGTTAATATCATGTTACATGGCGGAAGTAATAGAGAACATCCTACCTCTACATGGCTAGGCTTGGCTTGGGCTTGCATACCCGGGGTCTTGGGCAGGGCAGAGTTAGTCCCAATTCATCTCACCGCACAGCGCGATGCTTACTTCTTTTAAGATTGTTATAATATATTTGAAAGTACTATGCTGTTAAATTCTTTCGTTCAATAAAGATAACTACGTGAAGAATAAATAGTTTATTTTTATCTCACGGTTATATAAAAAACATGACGGATGAGAGACCGAACCCATTGCGCCGGGCCGGCTCGTTCCCGCTCCAAGACCAACTGCATTCTTCACAGCAACGTCGGAATGACTCTTTACAGCAATTCGCAGATAATGTACGACATGTTTCGCCTCAGGGTCGGGATCGTGTCCACTTCGTAGCTGAACCCGAGGAGCTTCGTCCGGTGAGTATCGCTTATGAGGGACTTTAGGCCTTAGCTAACATACCTATAGTATGAACTTGTCACCGATAATCAATATGTCCATACGCCAATCCTCTTGCCCGTTTCTCGTGCAGGGAGAGATTATGTCAATCCACAATATGCATATGCTCAGCCGACGCCAGTGAATCCGACGCAGTACTCTCGATTCCATGTACCCGAGGCTGTAACGCCTTATGCCACGCCGTGGCTAGATCGAGATCATCGTAGCCGCCGCTCTACTGCGAACTCATATATCTCAGATCGTAGCCAGTCTTACATACCTGCGAGGAATGAACGCGGAAGAGTCAGGTTTGCCGAGGCAGAGAGTCTACCGCACCGTTTATATTCTCAAACTTCATCGCCGTCGCCGCCTGCACCACCTCCTAGGTACCCAAGCGTCTATACGGAGGATGACTCTAACAGTTCCGACTCGGAAGCCTCTCTTCGTAACCGGTCCCGTTCGAGGTCAAGGCATAGCCGGTACCAGAGCTCATACGTGAGCGATTCGGACGAAGAAGAAGGCTTCGATGAGCTCATGGGCGGCAAGGTATTTCTATTTATCCCTTCGCGAACTTCTAAGGCACTTTCAAAAAGCGGCCATAGTATCGAAAGCGACATTTCATTTGAGAAGTCCGAGGATGGGATCTCTAGTGCAAGGGACGAGCCAAATGTTCCCAGGGCCAGCGACATGCTTCACATATATCAATCTCAATACACCGGGGATGCGGTCTCAGACGGAACACATACTGCAAAATTGACCGTAATACATGACCCTAAAAAGCAACGACAGCCGCTTTTTAGATGGGTGTAAGTGGCTCGAGATTATAGATTGACAGTATACTAACGCGCCTCAAGGCATCTGGAGCAACGTATGATGAATCTTGATGAGCTCTCTGTACGTTAGACAAGTCAAGTCTATCCCGCTATCTGCTAACCTAACGGTTAGGCCGAGATTGCACGAATCCCCGCCATTACCGACTCAGAACGCAACGGGTTCGCGAAGCTACTTGCCGAAGTCAAGAAAGCTTCTGTTAAGGTCAGGCCAACGGCAAAGGGGAACAATGTACGACATATGGATCCGAAGCCTATTCGCGTGACCATCCCCCCCGATGGGCGTACAAAGGGCCAGACCTCGAGGTTTGTGACTTGGCTATGTGTGCCGTACTTTTCGCTCGAGAAGTATTCGGGACTTCTGTCAGCTAGCACAGTCTCTTCTTTTCCAATCGAAACTTTACTTCAATCGGAATATGCTCGCACTACGGAAGAGCGCGACATGCAACAGGCTGTCTGCAAGAATGGCGAAGTTCCCGATGGCCACTGCTTCCATATTGCACAACTGTGGTGTATCGTGTTAGACAATAGTAAGTCTACACAATTGGGAAACCATCTAGTAATTCGAGCTAATCACCGAAAAGCCTTGCTTATCACATGCGGTCGAATGCCGAGTTCAACTTTACGAGGTGATATTATACGTATAGCTAACGAGCCTCTTAAGGAATCTATCGGCAAAGGGAAGAAAGTATACGTATCTTACTATGACACTGTTCTTTGGGAGCTTCCGTTGGAATCCTGCTTGACTTGGTTTGTAAGTTTCTTACTCGATTAATAAGACTGAAGGCAAATCACTAAAATATCTAGGACTTCTTGATACACTTCCGCGAGTTCTGGCCACAGGCGATAAGGATTTATCATCGTGACCGTGTTCTAACAGGAACCGATTGGCCCCGTATTCTCAATATGGTGAAAAATGTGAATACTAGAGTTGTTCTTGACCTTCGTCTATGGTATGTCTCTTTTACACTCATTATAGAGAAAGGATCGACTGATATGAAGGAAGGATACACCCGTCTCCTCCAGCCATTGGTATTTTACAGCCAATTAGAGAAGCCGAAGACGCCGAACGCAAAGAATTGGCGACAGAGAATGACGATAACAAGAATACAAAAACAGAGAAATATCAAACTACTGACGACAAATTCCATGTATTCTCGTGGTTGGAGATGACTGAAAGTGAGGGTGACAATAGGGGGCTGGACGTCGAAGCACTGGTTACAAACCTCCGAGAAGTAGAAGAATACCTACTTACGTCGACAAGTATGAGGGATCGAAACGCATATCACAACTGCAACGTGTCTTCACAGAGCTCTGTCCATGCGTATCTAAGAGGTAAAGGGCTGAGGATAGAAAAGACTGACGAGAATTCCGAGGAAAAGCGAGGGTACGAAGCCAAAATCGATTTATACAACGCGGCCGATATTGTCTTTTCTTTCTTTCTCCCACAATCCTTAAGCGAAGACGCACCGACAGTAGGGAAGTTCTGGGGTGCGGTTGAGAGCTTAGTCGAGGTACGGTTTCTAGTTGGCCTTCAGCCGTGGAGAAGTGATCTAACCGGGGACTAGATACCAGACGCAAGAGTCAACGAGGACGATCGAGCCCAACGAGAAAGAGTATCACGACGGAATGCTAATACGCACAATAATCTGCACCCGCTTAGATCCACTCTCAGAGGACTGACAAGAGTGATACAATCATTTCAGGATATCCTATCCCACGCGCCAGCATCGCTCCGAACTAAGGTAGAGGTGCCCGACAGCCTCGATCGTGCTTGGCTGCATTTAGTCATTGCCCTTATTCAGGCGTCACAAAACGACGAAGCTTGGAACGAAAACATAAGTGTCGCGGAGGCTTTGATACGAAGAGGAATGAACGACATCAGTAAGTGACCATTAAGGCAGTTTTTGCTTTTTCTTTTACGTATAGCTTCGAAAGACTATTTCTATATCTACCTATAAAACCCGTGCTAAGACGTCGCCGTCAAAGTGGATGAATTGTCTACGGAGGACCTACTCTCCAGCTCCGTCATCCAACCGATGGAACTCGTTACATTAATCAGCTTAAAGCTGCTCCAAGACTCTACGGGGACGTATTCGAGCATTAATGACACGTATTCCGATTATCTCAAAGGGCTGGTAAGTTTTACTGAACCTCTAGATTTACATGTTGATACGAAACAGGCCTAGGAAAATGAAATTACCACCAACAACTCCGATCGTTCGCATCAGTTCCGCATCACTTTTTTCAAGCAAGAGGTCGCCGTGATTCGTCGAGTGATTGCATCACAGTTGAACGTTGTAGATGGCATGACCATGCCTCAGAGACCATCTTGGGGCGACCAAACCCGCAGGGAGAGGGAGATGCTAGATAGGGAGCGCGATAAATCAAAAGCCGAGGCTGCGAGGATGCGATCGCGATCTTATCAAAAACAAGGCACAGCATACGTGGACAAGCTCGACGCGTACGAAAGTTATGGCCATCACTATCCCAAGAGCGTATCAATCCTCCCCGGCCCCTACTTCACGCCAGCCGGCCACCCTGACGCTTTCTCTAAACTGGCATCCACCGATCCTGGCGGGTTCAGGGAGCTCCTCGGCCGCGAGTGCAAGGCCTGGTTGGAGCGCAGGGACAGCGAATTCCTGGAGCTCGACGTCGAGGCGTCACGGCTCGAGATCATGGTAACGCTATGATGCACGGCTAATAACATAGAGCGAATCGCTAACACTCCCCCGCAGAATGCCAACAAGATCGAAGTGACTAAGGATCGACAGGAAGCAGCGGTCTACGCCTTCACCATGGTCACCATTATCTTTTTGCCACTCAGCACCATCAGCTCTATCTTCGGTATGAACTCGAGCGACGTGCGCGACATGGACCTCGGACAGTGGGCGTATTGGGCGGCGGCCTTACCTACTACCATCGCAGTAATCATCATAGGTCTGTGGTGGATGGGCGAATTACATAACTTGATCGACTGGGTGAGAGGGCTCCCCTCCCGGTCGAACAGGAGCTATGCACGAGTGTCGCGACCAGCTGCAAACGGCGTCATATATTACCCCCAGGGAGACTATGCTGGGAGAGACCCGCAACAGGTGATGAGACCATATAGCCGGGCGACACTGGGCCCGCCGGTGCCGCGGACGTCATGGCGGTACTAAATGTAGTACCTTAGCACTATAGTAACCTAACCTAGCAGCTTGGGATAGCTTGAATCCGTTGTTTTCTCCTGTTTGGGAAGTTCGCCTATCTAGATCGGATTCGGATATCAAAAGCCATGCAGCCACGTCGCGCAAACCCGCCTCACTTATTCCTGGGGTCAGGTGGCGCTGGTTGGTGGGTGGTTTGCTTTCGATAATGCCGTCGCAGATCCCTTACACCATGCAAGCCCTCTCGCAAGCCCTCAAGCCTTCAAGCCCACACAATATACGGTAGAACATGTGCATGCAGCTTATGCAAGCATCCTGCCCGTCGTGCATGCATCCATCATCCATCCCACGTCGGCGTAAGAAGGAGCAGCAGCAGCAGCAGCAGTAGCAGTAGCAGTAGCTTTAGGTTGAGAATATGATCGCAAATCCGTCCTATCGCATCGTGCCACTTCGGCTCGTAGCCTACCTATGGAAGACCGATTTGTCGATGGACCAGTAGCACAAGGAGTCTGCCAGTAACTAATGCCATATAGTGCGGATATGTGATTGGACGACGAATTCCCCCCTCTCGGAAAAGAACCCCCAAGTCTTTAGCTCGAACTTTTGTTGGGGGGGAACCGGCTGTGAGCTGCCCAACTCAGCCCGCAAAGGCGTCATGCAAGCTCCTGCCTCGTCGGGAGTCGAGAACTTAGGGGTCCTTTACATCCCCCTCCCCCCATCCTCCCCGCTTCCCCCATCTTCAGCCTCTCGAGCCGGTCTACGGGAATCGGGAACGTTCCACCCGGTTCTAGGGAAAATAAACTGGGCTACTCGCGGCTAATGCTGTCGAAAGACGTCGACGATGCGGTCAGAGCGCACCCCGGGACTGCGAAACTAAGCTGCGATAGGGGGAGGGGGGACGATACTACATAGCTTACGCTCGCTACGTCATTAGATTAGATCTTGATCCTTCGCACCGGTAGTGTGATATCTTATAACCCTACTTTGTTTTGCATGGCCGGTCCGCATGTAAACAAGCTGCATCGATATGCGAATAATAATATTGTGGGTGGGTGTTGTGTTTAATCGTATAACTAATATAGTTGCTTTAACTAACCTAAATAGCTTATAGGCTTATACACACGCAATGTGTTAAAGAGGACGAAAAAGCAATATGTTGCATTTTATAACAACCTTCTTTTGCGCACTTGGAGAGATGGAAAATAGTATAATCGGTTGTAGTTAATTTAAAACTTATAGCTAAAGGTAGGTAATATGTCAACATGTTACACGGGCCGAGTATACAACATGTATAACATGTGTAACAGTAGATCTCGGAGTTTCCCATAGTTCGTTTTGTATCCAAAACCTGCGCTCTTGCGTTACTGCATGACCTAATCTTATTAATAGTACGTCACGCGATTTTGTTGCCGTCTCAGCAGACAGAATACATCAAATTAGATTGATTGGTGTAAATCTATACATTAGACTTGACATATAATCACGCTGTTGCTCTTTTAGGATAGCTTTGGAAATATGATCCACATTGATCTTTACGAATCGAATTAGACGATTATTACAGGTGAAGCAAAGTCTTTCAAGCGTTGGTAAGTATGATTCTTATTGAACGATTAAGTATAGTTAACTAGGTTAGACTATATTACTCTAACTTGATTCTATCAACAATTGTTTAACCTAGATGAGTTAACACTAATGCTTTCCAAGCTAGATAGTTAAGAGAGGGTTAATATTATAAACTAATAAACATGCTTTACTCAACTTTGCATGAGACTTTTTTCGACGACATCATTTCATTCCTCGCCTCCTACACTAGCTATTATCTAAGATCGATAAAATAGGGCGACCAATATATTGTCTTCGATACAGCATCATATGGATCCTTGGAATCGATCTTCGGGACTTTTTTTTTCGGTGAGCCTAAAGTACAATTTACGTATCGGAAAAGCCTCAACTGCCATTCATTTTTCAGGGTCCACACTTACGTGTCGGCGTGAAGCGCCACGCGTGGTGAGGCTCGCCAATTCATATTATTGATATTCTGTCAGTTTCCCAGTGCAGTCAATTGCTCGTCCGGCTTCTCGAATACGAACGTCTCGTAATATGTTCCAATACGGCCTCTGCCGATCAACTAAGCACTACAAGGAGCATACCCATAAACCTGGAATCGCCATGCTATTACTCGTTTACCTTACAATGGAACCTGTACGTAAACTTTAGACTCGTAGGAATATTTCCGAAGCTGATTATGCCAACCTACTGCGGGTTGCTGCAATCGATCAAAGAATCGACAGGACGAAAAGATCATCACTCCACATCTCTGGAGTTGAGCTGTTGTTATTAGCTATCATAGCGAGGAACATCAGATTTAATATACGCTTTGAGAGCCACTTACAACATTCTGTCCAGAGTAATTACGCGTAATAGTTCCGATTGTCAAAATGTGGGCTATTAATATATACTAAGAAGAAAAGTTCTGCAGTATGCATGCAGGGCAAGACACAAGTGTGTGTCGTGTACCTGATCATGTCACAAATAAGGTTATATTGTAAATATATTGTGTGTTGTTGATCTTTTCTCTCTACATGATAGGGCCAAGTTAACGTCCCATATGTTCCGTATGTTCCATATGTCCCATATTCCGTTAAGGGCAAATATTGAAGGGTCTACCGAGAAAGACGTCTGCAAGGTCGCAGGTTGCAGGTCGCAGGTCGCAAAGGACAGCGAATAAGGTCGTATATGAGTTAAAGATAGATATGATATAAATGGTAATTCCGAGAAAACAGGAACAACGCAGTTGTGTAAAGCAATATAAAAGCTGATACGTCAGGTTTTGGTCGATTGATGAACCCCACCACCCTTTACCTTTTAACTACCCTTTAACACAAGCTCGCGAGCTAATGCCAACCAATGTAAGCCACTGAAGACGTGCCCATGATACCATGCAGCCCATGATGCACCCCTGCAACGACCCCTTGTAAGACTGATGAGATTTTACATACATCCTGACCCTACCTGACCGTGGTCTTGCAAGTTATGGGAATACAAGATTGTGGCAAAGGTTTCGGAGCCCAAGCAAGCCAAGGTCACGCTGTCGCCACAGGATGAGCGTTGGGCTCGTGTTAGTGTGCTACTGACGCTACCGACGCTACTGACACAACCGCGCGCCGAGAAGTCTTTGATCTGTTTTTCGAATATTTAACTTTGTGTCAGTTCCCGTTCTCGGTTCGTTTGATTCTGCCTACTTCTCTACATACTCTTTAGGGGCGATAGCTGGGCGAACCTATATTGGGATAACTTCTAGAAATTATTCTTACCTGTCTGTGGTTTTATTGTGGTTTTATTGTGGTAAAAAAGGAAACTCGTCGCACAAATCGCATAATACGGCGCTGTACAGAATATCGTCGTACAATAGCGTCGCACCGTTGTACCTACGCTACCTACCTAACAGTCGTACTTTAACCCTACGGAATTACCTACCGTTTTCCAAGCTTTTCTTTTTCAGCAGCAAAGCAGCCGAGCCACTTAACTCACTGCCCCCACACTGCACACTGCCTACTGCCCACTGCATAGGTGTCTCATAGCCGAAAAGACCCAATTACACGGCACCTTCCTGTCGTATTAGAGTTCTGAACGTTCTGGGCCCTGCAGCCAACTGCCTTATCGGCTTTATCGATAGAAGTAGCGGCCTCCTAGACGATCGAAAATCCGGTTTAGATAACCGTAGAACTTGTCGTGACGTCCCCAGCGTTCGTGAGTTCATGACGTAAGCGGCATCGCGATTCCGGTTATCCCCCCCCATCTTCGCTTTCCATATCTAGATCCGAATCCCCATCATGTGGTTCTACACTTCAACAGGTTAGCTTTTCTCCTCTACACTCTCAACCACCTATAACCTATAATTACCAATTACCAATTCGACACAACCTCCCATTTATTCATTTGGTTGCGAGGGGATAATTCTCTTCATACCATTTGTCTCTATCCTATCCAATTATTATCCTATCCAATAGTATACTATCAATTGTCAATTGTCATTCACGTACATCAATAAGTCTAACATCATGACTACCTACTATGCAGCTCCCCGCGAGAAGCGTTATCACAAATATAAGAAGGTTCTTTACCTAGAACCTCCCACCAACGGTAGCAAGACCGTTCGCACCCGCGTTACCACCATTGTCCCTCCCCCTGAGCCCGAGCCCGAGTTTATGCACTGTCCATCACCCGCCCCGGCGCTCCCAGAGCCCAGGTATACGCCGCCGCCGGTCATAGTCGAACCCCTACCGCCGCCGCCTCCTCCACCTGCATCTGTACACTACTATCCTCAGCCTGAGCCTGAGCCTATGCCTATGCCTATGCCTATGCCTGTACGTGAACCCTCGCCGGACGTCGGGATCGAGGTCATCGCAGTAGACGTAGACCCCGACCAGTCCAGCAGATCCGGCAGGTCCAGGTCTTCGAGGAGCTCCAAGAGCTCGTCGCGAAGCTCCAAGTCATCGTCGCGCAGCAGCGGCAGCGGCCACAGCAGACATGGCCGAGATCGCGAGGTCTACATCGAGCGGGAACGCATGGTGCCCGTTCGCGTACCCGTGCCGTATCACGTACACCACGTCGAGTACGAGCAGCCCCAGCAAGACTCGTTCCGTTACATAGAAGCCCCCAGGCGGTACGAGCCCCCGCGCCGGCGGAGTCCAGATCACGAGATCGTCATCGAAGATCATCGTCACCGGAAATACATCCGCGACGGCTAAACGCAACAACCCTGCGATCTAGCTTGTATTATATATATACCTACCTATATATTACGATAAATGTTTTATTTACCTCATGAGATATGGGCGGGAGTTTGGATTAACGTTTTAAGATTGTCACGAGACTACGAGTACGAAACCGTACGGAAGTCATGATCTGCGATTGGGAGTCTTTTTATATTTATTTGGAACTTGGAGCCTCAGAGAGAGAGAGAGAGAGAGATACGAGGAATTTGGAGTTTGAAAGTACGTTTTGAGTTTGCCTGTACACATTTACGGGGACATACCGACTGCCGGCCAGGCTATTTCCTATATTAATACTTTATAATGTATATCACATCACGGAGCAGCAGTACTGCCCGGACTGTTTGATGTTAGGCGGTAGTGGTACTACCCATACAATTAGGACTAAGACTTAAGAGTTTGCAGTCTTCGATATTCAACGTTAATATGAATTATTATTCAGATATATACCAAGAACTTTGATGCACCGAAGTGATGCCCAGTGAGATAGTATATCAGCCTTGGATTTAAATGGCCGTTCTTATACACTAGCTCTACTTCAGGACTCTAATTGTACAGGTAGGTACCTAGGTAGTTATTAGCCTCCACAAGAGATAAGAGTTGGACTTCCTTGCGAAGCAGTTTCCACTCCTTCCAGGTCCACCTCGCGATACAAGATGAGAAATCCCACTTGCCCGTCTAGGTACACTACATATTGAGTCTCCAGCAAGTTGTTCACCGCCATATTCCCTACCTATGTATTCGCACCTTGGTCGGCCGGTCGGGCTGGGTCTTTGAGTTGTACAAGAGACAGGCTGCTGAGTTGTACAAAGAAAATCAACAAAGCCCCGATCGTAGAAATTCCCGATGGCTTGTAACACGAGGATTGCACCGATGTTGTGTATCTTGTATCTTGTATCTTGCAATATATCGTTTTCGGGGGCAATGCATCAGTACCCAATTTGAATTTTTAATTTCAAAAAGCCTCGTGGTCGATGGCTGTGTGTATATGTACACTTTGTTTAGGTACCTACCTAGGTAGGTCATGGAATTGCATTTCCAGTGAACATATTAGGTATCTTGCATCAATGACCAATTTTGCTTTAGTTCTTGAAATATGCCATGCAATGACAACAGTGTAAAAGGGCAACTAGCAAGGCTAAATCTAAATTGTGATTGTTCTTTGCATGTGTTTGTTAGATTTTATGCAATGATCAGGCTAATTGCACCGGCGTTTACCAATAATATACATACCAATAATAAGGGGATGATGGGTTGATTACATAAGCGTGAAATAGGGGTAAACAGTATAAGTCATGAATATTCCGTCAGCATCACACATCTTGCTATCTACACGCAAAAAGGCACTCATACGCATATATCTGCAGCTATCCGCCAATATATATCGTTATTCCATTGTCAAATCTGTTGTAGTGTTGATCTATCTCTATGTAAGTGCATATAACCCACCGCTTTTGCAAAGTCATGGATAATTCACATGTAACTAACTATTCATACTATCTGACATGTACAATTACAATAGGATATATATAAAACCAATATCATGATGCACACTTAGCACTTCTTTTTAGCTTCAATTCCAGATCATTAGCCACACATCATCCATACCGCTCATTAGATTCTATCCCCAATGAATGTTTCTGTAGATTCGTCAGGCCACATTGCACGTCCTTGGAGTAGGTATTTATTCATGCCTTCGTCTCCTTAACACAAGAGATTCTTTCCTACATTTCTCTTATCATTCTACTTTTTGGCTTCTTCTATTCGACTTTTAGGCAAAGCCAATTCCCTCATTCACAAATCTATCTAAGTATCTCTCTTTTTAGCCCTTCTTAGAGAAAATTACCTCAGCCATTTCTAACGAGAAAGGGGTTTTGATTCAGAGCACTCTACTAGATGTTTATCACACGGGAAGAAGTCTTGTCTTTGCTGATATGAACAGAGTTTCTTAATAGGTAGGTATCTATGTTTCTATATCGCATGATACAATCTTTTCCAACAGGCTAATTATCACTAGGACATCAGGCACACCATCCTTCCTCTGATTGGCGGGCACATTAGTCCAAGACAACAACAGAAGAACCACCATTGAACATAGCTACAATGTATTGGAACACACATCATCACAATTCATCAATATCAACCAAGAATGGGGATTTACGTTTTGTTAATAACTGGGAGGGTCTTAATCTAATGAACAGAAACAAAACATAACAATAATAGCAAGTCGCCAGAACCGACTGCTTTGGCCTTATAACATGAAGGCGTTGGTCTCTCCTCATCCAGCCCTACCCTGAGGCTCCTCATAAACTCGTCATAGGTTCATCCATTCTTTAGGGTATCATTAACCGTTAACCATTATCCACCAACTCCTGAACAAAAGAAAATAACAATGATAAGGGAGTGCCAGAAAGTCGGCAAGTTCCCGAAATAACCAAAGGGAAATTCGTCAAGTTCACACCAATGGCTAGACTATCCAAGGTAGTGTTTATGCCTGGTTGCCGTCATTAAAGAATCCCTGGTAGTCAAAGAAGGGGATGTCGCCGCCATTGTCCACCTTGCCATCGACCTGGTCTCCTGGCTTGGCCGGGTCTTGAGATGTGCTCGTTGGAGACGAGCCAGAGGTTAGAGCATGGGTATAGGTTCCCTCTGCTTCTTGACCCTGAGGCAGGTCTCCGCCCCGTGGGGGTTCTTGATTCCCAAGACCTTCCTGGGCATCATAAGAAGATGGAGCCTGGCCCTGAGCTACACCTGGCGCGGCCTGGCCCTGGACTTGAGCCATAGTCGGATCAGAGTTCTGCATGAACATGGAACCCTGAATTTGGCTCTGGACTTGGCTCGAGTAAGGAGGTAGAACAGGAGTGAGCTGTTGTGCAGGCATCTGTCCCGCTGGAAGTTCCTGTACACCTTGCCCGCCCTGCAAGATCTGCATCTCCAGTTGGTTGATTCGCGACTGGAGAGAGGCATTGTCGCTAGCGAGCATGGCGATACTCTGCCCACGGTTCTGGATGTCAAGCTGGTAGATGTTGATCCTCGCATTAAGCTCGTGGACCTGCTGGGACAACGCCGCGTTCTGCTCTTGGAGCCTCTGCACATTACTTCTAGCATCCTGCAGTGCGTCCTCCTTCTTCTGACGACTTTTACGAGCCGAGACCCTGTTCTGGTCTCTCGTGTGAGCAGCCTTGCACTTAGAGATCATCTCGTTTCTGATCCGTGTCGCCTCCTTTCTCTCCTCGGGCCACGAGTCAAGGATCTTGGTCAATCTCATTCCCGGTTTCCACTTCAGAGTTGACGAGTCCGACATTGACAAGTCGCCGTCTTTGTCGTTTGTTCGCCTCTGCTTTCCCTGCTTCTTCGTGACCCTATGAGCAGGGTCCCGCTCCGGACCAGACGTACTAGAGTCCGCGCCGCTTCCAGAGGAAGAGCCGACCATGCCTAGTCGGCGTTGTGGCATAGGCGGTCTGGAGCTAAGGGGACGAGTCATGGCAGGTCCAGGAATAGATGCCGGGGAAGGCATTGAGGACTGACCAATTTGATATTGGTGAAGCATCCCTTGGCTTTGCAAACCCATCGGCATACCAGGGGCATTCTGGTCTTTGAAAAAGAGTTAGCAAATTCATACATTCCACTACTCTTCATTCCTACTTACTGGTCTGGCGAGAACCATAGGCTAATGCCATGTTCATGTTGCCTGCCCAGCCTTGATAGCCCTGGCCCATAGAGGCAGCGGCCATTGCCCCAAATACAGTTGGGGTTATAGGTGAAATAGGTGACATGGATGGCTGCGGCGTGGGAGGTAGATGATGATGCATAAGGGGCATTGGCGACATAGAGCTCGCCGAAGACATCCCTGAAGCCATTCCTGATTGCGTCGTCATAGTAGACGACGTGGCGTTGGCATTGTTGAATGCCATGCTGTTTGCCTGACCTGTTGACGAGTTGTCAGGGATGCCTCCGTGTGCAGCATAGATGTCGCTTGCCCCAAGAGGAGGAGCAAGGGGGTTGAAGTCAGGGTTTCTGTATTATGTTAGCTCTTATGTCTATAGGGACTTTTATTAGGGTACTATAACTTACCCCTCTCCCTGCCAGTTAGAGTTGTTGTCTTGACTCATCTTGATAGGACTTCTCAACGTCGTCTTTGGAAATACGTAGGTAATGGCGAATTGTAGAGGAGTGCTGGAAGTTGTGATGTAACGTTAGATGTGTAATGATGGATGCGTAGGGGAAAAGGGGCAAGGCTTACATGAATTTATGTAGAGAGGTAGACAGGCCCTAGATAGAAAGAGTCAGTTACTTGTTGCGAAAGTATTGTATCATGAGTCTTCAATGTCACTCAAGTCTAGTCATTGTTGGACAATAGTTTAGATGAAGAGATCATACCTAACAAACTAATGCTACCGGGTGTAGTCTTAATTGAAGTAAGACAAGGTAGACTCGTAGTCACGAGTATTCTATTCAAGGTTAAAGACCATCCGATGTATAGAACAAACATTCAAGACGCGACTTGACTAAGGAAAGTTGCGGTAGGAAAGTAGTTTTGGGTAGATGGGAGAGACTTACCAGAGGTTGGATTGATCCTTTGGATTAATCAAGTTGAACCGGTAGTATGACTTGCGACTGTTAAGGGTTGTGTCGCGTCGAGGTATGTAGTAAGGGGTAAGAGGTAAAGGGCAGCGGGAGGGCAAGGTGATATGTTGTTCTTGTTCTAGCTGTAGTAGTAGCAGAATAAGAGTTGTGTAGTGAAGAAATGTTGAAAGTGAATTCTTAAGATTGGTTGAAGGCTGTATTGTTAAATAATTAATTTCGAGAGGCTGTTTACCGCCTTTGGCATATTAGGAACATAGGTACGGACTCGAATTCAGTTGGAAAGAACGTCCGTTGCTATACGACTTGGCGCTAAAATATAAGGAAAAGAAAACTCTACAGTCATGCACAGACATAGTTTGGTAGTCTTATCAGTGTGTTCCTGCCGTAGAGGCGACGAACCTGTGAATGGGGCCATTTGTTAGCCCCCCTTTTTCAGTGAATCAGTAGCAATCAACAGCTGCCATCCCACTCACCTACAGTCACCTACAGTTACCTAAAGGAACTTACAGACACTTACAGACACTTACAGACGCTTACAGACCCATACAGTCACTTACTTTTCAACAATGACTTAAAGAGCAAGCACTCCTCGTCATGCACAGACTGTCACTAGGTGCCACAAATAGAAAACTTCAACCTCAGATGATAATTATGGGGCAACAGGTTTCTCGGGGAGTACTCTAAGAATTACTTTACTCTGGCAGCTACGATAAGCGACACCAGTTGGCAGACTTTTTCTTGAAACAAACTGTCCTAGCTGCTGGGTAATTAAGGCGCGTCGGACGACCCTTCCCCATGATGATGTACAAGTTATGTTCAATGTTAGTAAACAAACCAAAAAAAACCTTTTAAAGAGCCTCATGTACGTAGGTACGTATTTCCAAACCACGGAACCAATGCCGTGAAGAAGTAGGTAAGTAACCATGTTCCGTACTTACCATCTGCTAAAGACCGTTTGTTTACTTGCGATATCACAACTCGAGAACCAGTTAATATCTCCCCTTCCTTAGATCCCGAGGCTTCTACCCTTCCTACATCCTATTCTACCGTGTCCCTAGTTGTCTCCGAAACAGGTCTACAATACGCAACAAAAGTAAACAAAACATTAGCACTTTCTGAAGTATATCTGAGGTCAATTGAAGAAAATAGAAACCAAAATAATACAAATAGCCGGGAATATATTAGGTATGGGTACTGTTTGGTAAATTGTAGCCCTTATTACTGGAATGTATCTTGTGATAGGGGTAAAAGAGGAGGTAGGTATCTACAACAGTGCCTATGATGCTGAAGGATTCTAGACTTGTTATATTCAGTATGTTAGATCGGGTTCCCGCAAAAATATTGAAATAAACAAGTCGCAAAATTACAGCTTGTCTTGTTGTCTATGAACTTAAACATATGCTAAATATCCAAGAATACCAAGGTATAAAACTCTGCATACAAAAACTATCTTATAGAACACAAAGAGTTCAATACCACAAATGGCGCGTCCTATTGGTCAATCTTGTGCTTCTTAGATCTTGGGTCTCCTTAGAGGAGGTTCTCGTTTAGGGGCTTGATGATAACTAGAAGTAATGTCTATTTCATGTGATAATGCCAATAATCAAGCAAATCACATATATGATCACATCTCCAAAGAGAAAATAAAACGGGGAGGACTATGGGAGACAATATAGTGCAAAGTAGTATTAAGCTAGCTGATTTATCGTCCCGGAATCTGAAGTGATTGAAGTAGACGAATTATAGGGGTAGATTCTGTAAGGCGACCCCCCTTAATCAGCTGTTTGTGCCCTAGCACTATCCCCATTCCGCTTCTCCTGACTGCCTAATCTGTTGTTTCCTTGGTCAACACATCTTCTGTCACGTCGTCTCTGCACCATGGAACTATATAAATATTTTTGTGAGTGGGGAAGTCGGCAACCTCAACTTCAGAGTCTGTGTAATAGTCATCGTCGCAATTATCTACATGTTCTCCGCACTTCCGGCAGGGTCGTACCCTGCAGTAGCAACTTTAAAGACAGGAATGTTAGTTACTTGCTAACCCAGTAATATGGAATGGCACAAGGGGGGTTAAGAAAGGAATAAGAACTTACGGTACAGTGCAGTCGTCGCTATCATAGCCTTCTGTTTGACTTATGTGGCATTTGCAAAAGCTCTTTCGGTCTTGCTTCTCAGCCGGCTCTTGTAGACTGTCATCCAAAGAGGGTTTGGCCTCGTTGCCATCCTTAAAACACTTGTTGCAAATGGGCAACCCAGGATCATGGGCGGCGACGGAACTGCCGGAGTTATTGCGACTTTCGGAAATAGGGACGCCGGAACTTTCTTCTGCGCGTTTTGCAATAAGCTCCATGCAGAAATCTTCGCCGAGTACCGCTGCTATTTGCGACATGAAGGCAATAATTGTGTTGCAACAGCGAGGGGCAAGTTCATCGTGGTTAAAAAACGAAAGGAACATGCATCGTAAGCAGTTCACGCAGTAGATGTGGGAACAGGACGCCTCATATGTGAAGGTAGGAGGGTAAGAGCCAAGACAGGCATCACACAACACCACGTTGTCGATGCACGAAAAGTCTGACTGACTCATTTTGAAGGCTGTAGACGTTAATGATCGGGTGAAAAGATGGATATAGAAGATGGAAGTGAAAGGAGAGTTAGTGTTAGGTTATATATATACCCTGAAGCCATTAACGATCCAAAGCCTAATTATGGGGAGAAAGCTGGCAGGCTATTCATACGATTATTCAAATTTGATGATATATTTATACCATAGAAAATATGAAGTATTAAGATACTATCCCTTAATCCTCAAGGTTTAATAGAATCAAATATCAGTATATCCAAGATATTCCATTAATCTCATAAACATGGTCTTTCCTTTTATATAACCAGCCCAAGTTAATAAGCAATCTTCATATGGAAACTGCTTAGGTATAGCCTATAAAGATAAAGCCTACTGCTGAGAGATAACAGTTAACCCGATTCCCTTACAGAGACTTATTCCGAAGATCACGAAAAATCGATTCCGAGAAGCCTTTTCAACAATACGTTATTTAAGCCTCAACGGTTTCCCTAGCTTGACGTAAGCTAGAGTCGCCCCGGGACTAGGGAAAACTTACGCTCAACCTACCCTTGTCAAAGGCGGTTGGCTTATGGGGTTGGTTGGATGCCGCGTGGAAGGCATGTGAATACCACGTTGACCTTTTAAGACTAGGTAAGTCCTGGTGTATGTACTCTTACAGCCATACCACCCCTGTGCATATATCCACATCAGTCGCTATGTGTGTTAGATGTGACCAATCAAATATCGGCGTGATGCTTTCGCATGTCATACATATGCCCCAGAGGGCTCACACTACCTAATGCAAGTCTCAAGGCTGAGGAAGACTTCCTGGACTGACAAGGTTAGCGGAATCTTACATATATTCTGCTTGTATGCGCGTCATCTCCGGCTCAGATGAGTCTAGTATGATGAAGTGTAATATTATTTTTTATTCCGGCCTCTCTTTACCCGAGATATAATTGGTAGAACTTTCAATATTTCTACCTTTTGTGCCGCCTCCCCAACTACGTCCCGAATTCGCAGCACTCCCTCCGAAGTTTTTCTACAGAGAATATACATCGTGAACCAAATAACATGCTCCAATACGCGAACACCATGCCACACCAATTATTACGGAAAACAACCCCGGTAAAAGAATGGGCTTAAAAGGTGGCAACGGCAATGGCTATGGATTGCGTTTCCGAGTGTGAGATGGATACACTGATCTCCTTGACGCCTGCCTTCTTGGCAGCATCTTGGGCATCACCGTGAAGCTATAATCAATTAGCGAACTGGTAGTTATGGGAACCATGCGCGGTCTACTTACGGAAACAATAGGGGCACCTGTCTCGTTAGGGAGGATCTCAATATCTTTTAGGGGAGCCCCTGCGCCCCTACTTTGGACGCCTAGACTCTTAAAGACTGCTTCCTTAGCGCTCCAGCGCCCGGCAAAGGAGCTCTGTGGACTCGGCGTCTTTTGGCAGTACGCAATCTCCTTGTCTGTGAAGTTACGCTCGATAAAAGTGGAGTTTTCGATGTTAACAGCCGCAATGTCTTCTACATCAACACCAACCTTGTTGTTCTTTCCTGTCTGAAGACTCTGGGCTAGGCCTTCCACCATTTCCTTCGTGCTTCTCGCCTTCATAATATGGGGCTTGGCAGCCCGCTGGGCAAAGTCGGCAGGGTAGATAAGCTCGGCAGTCTTGCCGTTCTCAGAGACTCTGGCATCGGGATTGAGGAGGACAGAGGAGAGCTGCTCCTCAGTGTACGGCGCGTGGTCCTTGGCTTGGAAGATGGCATTGTTGACGATACCGTTGTGCATGTAGCGATAGGCTTTCTTTTGACGAGCAATTACCTTCGCGGAATACTCTGCATATATGTCCTTGTCTAGGGCCGCATATAGGTACCTTGGATGAACACCGATCGCCTGTGCACCCTTCTGTCCAAAGCCGAACGAAGTGAGCGAGAAGGCCTTCACACCATCGG